GGTTCAGGTTCGGGTGGGGCTCGTTATGTCCAGGATGAGAAGTCTCCCGTTGCAGCCGCTATATACTCAGGTTCAGTAACCAACTGGGAGAAAGTATATACTTTTGGGTGCTAGTTATATTATATAGCTATGATCTCGGGTAAAAAAGGATACTACTGAACATCCTGGTACTTGCGCTCCGGGATACCCCAAGCCCCTACTTGAATTTGTGAAGTCCAGGCACCATGCAATGGCTTACCATAAACTCAAAGCCCCAAACCCTATTACGCCCGAAAGAGCAGTCCTCTCCTTTTCCTGCTGCTCCCGAAAAGCTTTCAGGTCCGAAGTCGTCAGCTGCAGCTGAAGCCTGCCTTTGTTCCCAATCTGAACCTCGGCAGTTCAGTGCTTACGGGGTTCAGGGTTGGGCTTTGGGGGTTTACTGGGCTTACGGTTGAAGGGTTCAGGGCTTCGTTCCCTGCGGAACCTCAGCATTGAGACCATGATCTTTCAGCTTCTCCAGGATGAAGCCTTGAAGATCAGCCTTGTGAGCAATGGGCCGGGACTGGCCCCGACCGGTGATGATGATGCCACGGTAACTGGGCTTCTGGGACAGCAGCGGAGGCATTACATCCAGCAGCCACCACCTCACGGCCATCCAAGCGGAAGAGGTCGACATGTCAAGTAAGTCAAGAAGCGCAGGACCCTGCTTACACAAGTTGCCATATAGCCCAGCCTGTCGAGCCTGCAGGAAAAGGTCATACCCATGATCCTGCGCTTCACTGCACACAGCATCCAACACTGCATTGTAGGTGACAGCTGTTCCGTTCGTCTTGCCGCTGCGCATGGTTTCGAAGAGATGCATTGCCAGTGGCCATTGCTCACCCTGCCCACAAGCACGAATGGCAGAATTGAAGGTCATGATATCGAGAGGGAGGTTGGCTTTGATCATGCTGTGGAACAAATGCATCGCTAGCTGCCATTGCCCGCTCTTCGTGCAAACACTGATCGCGGCATTGTAGATGATGACATCAACAGGAAGGTTAGCTTTGTGCATGCGGTCGAGCAATCGCATCGCCAGCTGCCACTCCCCAGCCTTCTCACAAGCGCTGATGGTTGCACTGTAGCCCACTATGTCGAACAAATGCATCGCCAGCTGCCACTGCCCACCCTTCTCACATGCACTGATGGTGGCACTATAGCTGCTTACATTGACTTCCATCTTGGCATTTCGCATGCTGTCGAACAGATGCATCGCCATCTGCCACTGCGCACCCTGCTCGCAAGCGCTGATCGTGGCACTGTAGCTAATGACATCGGCAGCAAGTCCGGCTTGGCACATGCTGTCGAACAGATGCAACACGAGCTGCCACTGCCCACCTTTCTCACAAGTGCTGATGATTGCATTGTAGGTGATGACATCGGCAGGCAAATTTGCTGTGCACATGTTGTCGAACAGATGCATCGCCAGCTGCCACTGCCCACCTTTCTCACAAGCGCTCATAGTCGCATTGTAGGTGATGACATCGGCAAGAAGATTTGCATTAGGCATGCTGTCGAACAGATGCATCGCCAACTCCAACTGCCCACCCTCCGCACAGGCACTGATCGTGGTGTTGTAGGTGATGACATCGGCAGGAAGGTTGTCTTCGCGCATGCTGTCGAGCAGATTCACTGCCAGATGCCACTGCCCGCCCTTCTCAAGTGCGTTGATGGCGGCACTGTAGCTGAAAGCATTGGCATTCACGTTGGCTCGATGCATGTTGTCGAATAAATGCATCGCTAGCTGCCAAGTCTTCGCCCTCGCACAGGCACTAATTCCAATGGTGAATTCAGACACACCTGCACTTCTCTTGGTTGCACTTGAAACCCTTTCGTGTTCCTTGCAAAGTCCACGTATGCTTTACTAAAACAAATTACGAAATATTAAGCCCGAACCCCCAAGCTACTTACTATATTATAGGCCCTAGGGGCTCTAGTACCCTATAGTAGGCACCTGGGGGTTTAGGGAAAAAAAAGCCAGACGGCCTAGGCACCGACCTTTGTGTCATCGGCTCTGAGCCTCTCGGCTAGCAAGGTACCCACCAGGTCGAACCTTCCTCGGGTATTGAGAGAATGCCTCAGTTCAGAGGCCCCCCAAAAGCTCTCAATTTCAGCTTTGATGAAGGCTATAATATAGGGCCTTAATAATTAGAACAAGGCTTGGGGGTACCTTATACTATGATTATAACAAGGAGCCCCCCAAAACCCTATTCTACTTATTAAGGCCCCTACATTCTATTGTTTAAGGAAGTGCAGAGTTTACACACTCAGCTTCTAAGTTGCATCGTCCAGCGCAGAGACTTGCGATCCAAGTGATGTCGGGCCAGAACCTGCTGTACGCTTTCCTGCGAGGCTTTCGGTTGCAGCTTCAGCAGCTGCTCTATGATGTCGCTGGGCCGAGAACTCGGGCCCTTCTCCAGACGAACAGCCGTCGAAAATGACCGGGCGAGCATGGTTTTCGGTTTCTGGCAGGGTTTAGGGTCTAGGGTTTACAGGGCTTAGGGTTTAGGATAACATTACGAGCTTGGCTGACCTATGTCAGACTGTGGGCACTGCTTGAATTAAAACGACTGCTGTGAACGTGCCAACATGGCACGAACCCCAAACCCAAACCCTAAATCCGCAGCTTGAGATCAACCCAGGAGGCGAGACCAACACCGCTAAAGCGATCGACGAGATCAAAACAGTCACAAGAAGTGAGGATCCACATACTTAAGTCGGAGAAGCTTTGATCTTACATGAACGCAACAAGATATACCAAACCGAAGATTTTTGCCCCGGAGCCCCAGTTTGAACCCTGAAGCCCCTGAAACCCAAGCCCAAACCGCCTCCACCCTCCAAACCTTAAACACCCACACCCTAAAGCTCCAAACCCCTTCCTCACCTAAGCCCCAAACCCCTAACCCTTAACCCCTAAACCCCAAACCCCAAACCCTAAACCCTAAACCCTAAACCCTAAACCCTGAGAGAACCGTTCTTGGAAGGCTCTGGCCTGCAAACCGGCAGGATGGAGGCACGGAGAGCCAGGCCTCAATTTTCTAGACTAGGCCCTAGTTGTGTTTCACGTTTGTTTAGCGTGTCACGTTTTTGTTTTTTACACGTTTTTTTTCTTACGTTGCTTTTCACGTTTTTTTTAGGGTCGATGACTTTTTTAATTCACGTCTATTCTACGTTTTAAAGATGCAGAAACCACACCAGTAGTAGATAGTCTCGCCGACATAAGACTAGGGTTCTTATTAAAGGGTTCCTTTAAGGCTTCGAATAAGAGGTCCCTTTAAGGGTTCCGTTTAGAAGGGCCCATGAAGGGAAACACAAGTTATAGGAGAGCTCGGCCTTGCGCTAAGGCTTTAGGATTTAGGGCTTTAGGGTTTCAGGGCTTAGGGGCTTTAGGGGTTGGGAACTTAGGGCATTAGGGGTTGAGGGCTTAGGGGCTTTAGGGGTTGAGGGCTTAGGGGCTTTAGGGGTTGAGGGCTTTAAGGTTAAAGGTTTTGGGTTTAGGGCTTTAGGGTTTAGGCCTGAATGAATTGGAATTGGGTTTCGGGGCATGGGTTCCTAAGGAGTACGAGTTCCAAGCATCATAAGGCCACGATACGATGGAGGCAATGGGAGCACGGTCTGCCTTACCGAAGGTACTTTTATAATCGTTGGAGTGGGTGGGTGGTTCAGAGGGTTTTCTTCGAGCGGTCTTTAAGGGTTCTATAACGGGCCCTGAACAGCCCGACTGCGCTTCTTCATGGGTTCCTTTAGGGGATTTATGAGACTTGGGTGCCTTAAAAACTAGGGTAGGGTTTGGAAAGGTGTCTTTAAGGGCTCCCTTAAGGGTTTATGGGTATGTAGAAAGTTGTCTAACACTTAGCGTTACTCTCAGGCTCTGCACGGCTCAATTCTAGGGGCCTTAATATCTCGGATAGGACTTTGAAATATATTGTACTGTAGCATTGTATAGTTATGAGGAATTGCAAGGAGGAGTGCGACGGATTACATATTTAGACTTCACCATTACTTTGCAGAGCTTAGGGTTTAGCAACATTTGCCAGGAGGTATTATCAGTTATTAAACCTGCCTGTGCCCTCCAGTGTATGTCCTTTCTGGGTGAAATTTCGGCGTCGAAAACAAGGACACATAGCAACTAAGAACAGCGACTACCAATAAAGAGCGTGCAGGCGGCCACCATGACGAGGCCTTCGCCTTCCTCTCGAGGCGGTCCCAATCTCTGTCGCCCTCCCTGGGCACCACCGACCAAGTGCCGGCGATGTGACGGTTTAGGGTTGAGGGTTTAGGCTTTAGGGTGCCACCGACCAAGTGCCGGTGATGTAGCTGACAGACCTTAATATGAGCCAGAGAGCGCTCTTGGGCATTGCCCAGCGGAGGAGACGGGCACCACGGCGAATGTTCAAGACACAAGATTGCAAGGTGGCAACATGCAGAAACCCCCAAACATACGCAGGTGTAGAAGACGTGGGGAGGCCTCCATATCGGCTGCTGGATGCTGTGACCCGATGCCCTCGTCCTGCCAAGTTTGAGGTGGCCGGAACCGTTCGCTGCCTGTTGCAAGACAAGGCTCCACCCCGCACCCAGAATCCCTAAGCTATATATCCTGCCCCCGAAACGCAACCCTCGGCTACTTCAAATTACCGGCACCATATACGCCTAAGCCCCAATCCCGAAGGAACCCTCTAAACCTGGTCCCTAAACCCTAAACTCTTATACGCATTTGTTGTCTTCTATGCTTTCGGGTCGACGAAAGGCGGGTTCCTGTCCGGATATCCATGAGGGTATGTCGCGGTGAGAGAAAAGACGCAAGACAGGACCCTACCCTAACCCTCCAGGTACCTACTGTAGAGGGTACTAGAGTTTCTAGGGCCCTATATAGTAGGCACCTGGAGGGTTAGGGCTAGATCACAACGTGAGAATCTCGAAGCGCGGCTAATGTAGGGGCCTCAATAGCTAGAGCAGGGCTTATTGTTCTGGGCTCCTTGACCGTGGAATTACTAGGGAACCCGAAGGAGTAATATTGCCTTGTTTAAGATTTCATACTACCTCTGCAGTGCATGCCAGCGCCCTAAAAATCTGAAGCCCCGAATATCCCCCACCCCAACCCAAGATTACGAACCTAGCCAACCACAACACCACCCAGACCTTCCACAATCGTAGGAGGGATGGTACCAGAGTTTACGTATCTATTGCATGATTCAGGGATACTGCAGATCTGGGCAGCCAAATGCTAAGCCAACAGTCCTTGACTGGTCCTAAACGCCTTAACCCCAAACAACATGGTACCTTAATCTGCAGCCTCCTTAAACCCTAGACCCTGTAAACCCTAAGCCCTAAAGCCTAATCCCTAAACCGGGCGCCGCGACTCTCTTGGGGATGTCGGTGAGGGTGATGGAGATCTGCTTTGGCAATCGGCCTTGACACTAGGGTTTAGGGTTTAGGGTTTAGGGTCATTTTCAGGATCCGAGGCTCCCCTTTGCCGGTCCTTGCCCTGAGGGTCCAAAGGACACAATAACTTGGCACTTGGTTTTCGGGTAGTGGGTTTATACCTTGATATTTACATGACTACCGCCATGTGAGCGGGCTTTCGGCTTGCAGTTGCAGAGAATTTGCGGTAAGTTCGGGTAATGCCCTGGCCTTTGACAGTCCCGAATATGGGTAGTGTTGTGTGCTTGATAACATGGCCATCTACTCAGCTAATGTAAAGCTGTCCTAACCGCCAGGGTCGATGACTGTAGTCAGGTTGATTTCTTCTGGAGTAGTATGGAACATAAAAACATCGGAATAATGTGTTGGGGCATGTTTTGGTGTCATCATATAGGGGCAATATGGGTTTACCGAAAAGACTTGACATCCCTATATCTCAACGCATGACGACCTTTCTATAGTGCAGCCAGCTGGTCAACAACGTGTAAACCCGGTGCTAAGAGCAAGTTTTGCAACTAACCCCCGGACGCCCAGTAACCCATACATGATTTTATTGCACCATAATTGCAGTTGGTATTGGCATGGCTTGACAACGCCCCGAAGGCAGCAGCCTAATATTTAGTATGTACTGACATGAACTGGAAGTCTCCGGAACATTACGCACAAGAATGCCCGACTTCTGAAGGACTTCGCATAGATCTACTAATTCGACTTCGAGGATCAGAAGATAGTTTCATTCGATTGTGCGGACTACATTTATTTCCACTGTAGTTCTGTTTTTGGTTTAGTCTGTGGTGGAGATACTATAGTGAGAAACAACTAACAAGGTCATCAACAACAAAGAAAGTACAAAGAAAACGTACTCCGAGTCGGGTTATACATAGCCGAACTGGCTACTGTAGGGACTTTCTTACACTCGTAATGCTATATACCCGAAAGCGAATAACTGAGTCTGGGAGCTTCCAAGTAACCGAGGAAATGAAGCGGCCTTTGTGTAGAATTGGGTCTTGGGGGCTCCTGATCCAAGCATCCTAAACCCTAAACCCTAAACCCTAGTTTGCCAAGCATTGGGCAACGATCTCTCGCCAAGTGAAGGCCACGCGCCCACCCTTTAGGCGCACCTGCCGGACGAAGGAGGTTGTAAGACTTACCCCTTAGAGGCTTGAAGGATTATAAGTGTTGATTTAAAGGGCTTACGGTTTAGGGTTTAGGGTTACAAGTTTTGATTTAAAGGGCTTAAAGAATCTGGGTTTCAGGTGATTTGGGTGCAGTGCTGGGAGTCGTTTCAGAAGGCTTCCCGGGTCCTTTTTTGGAGAAGGAGGTGTCGGCTTCAAGAATATATCCCAAATCTCCGTTCTCGTTCTGAAAGCCCCTACGTTTCAACAAAAATCATGTAGCAACCATTCTAGATCCTATAAGGAAAAACCTACAAGACACCTAAAACGGTGACCCTATATGAGAGGGCAAGGGTGAAACATTTCGGGTCAATCGGATCTGAGAGAAAGTCTCAATCCTTTTTTTCTAGATTGGTAGCTCGGGTTTGGGTTCAAAGTCTGGGGTTGTGAGATTGTGAGACTCCGATCTTATACTAGCGCTGGCCCTACATCGTTCTGGAAGCTAGATGCGACTCTCATATAGCCGGGCGTTGAGGATACCTTAATCCCACAAATCTCCGAACTTGGACCCTTATTATTAGTGTACTATGCTCGAAGCCCTAACCCGCCCGGATCACCTGGACCGGGTTTACCGCCACAACGCGGCCGGAGAGCCACTGGCTATCCGAAAGCCTTGGGGCGCGCAAAAGGGTTGGTTTAGGGTTTAGGGTTTAGGGTTTAGGGTTTAGGGTTTAGGGTTTAGGGTTTAGGGTTTCTCTGAAGGTTTAGGGGTTAAGGGTTCAGTTGCCTTGCTAATCCGCATAGGGCTCCTCAACAGGCTCCAGGTTTAATTCATCCCTTTATAAGGCTCCATGTATCTAACCCAAAACCCTAAACCCTAAACCCATATGCCTATAAAGTGTATGCCCGCAGCTGCCAGCTCGGAGAGCCTGCCCTGCTTCACCTCCCAGACTTCGCCGAAGACGTGGTCCAGAACCTCGCTCCGAAGCGGAGCCGCACTTGCTGCTTACAGAGGAGGGGTTTAGGGTTTAGGGTTTAGGAGGATACATCTCCACTGCCAGCTGCACCATGTGATGGTTCGCAGGGCTGCAGCGGAAGCTTCCACGTCCGTCTGCCCTGAATCAGGAGAGTGGGCTTCGTCAGCAAAGATCAAGTCGGCCAGGATTGACACGAGCCGCCTTGTGGGCTGTGAGACGTAAAGCCTTAAAGCACCCACGCAGGAACCTCGGTCAAGACTTAGTATATACTTGTTGGGTACCTGGAGCCTTGGGGAATGCAGGGCCTTTATAGCGAAAATCTTAGACCCTACAACTTAAGTTAAAACAAAAACCCTACTTGAACCCTCAGAACAACCTTCCACAGGCATTCTACAGGGTTCCTTGTTTCGCTTTCCCTTTGTAAACCCTCGAGAAAGAACTAAGCGCTTTAGGGTCCAGGTAAATCCTGCACACTAAACCCTGATTTCCAAACACTAGGCTTAGCAGGACCACTCGGCAGTTCAATCTGTACGGCAGAGTTTGCGTTTAGATGCAGGGTCTAAGGTTTAAAGCTTAAGGTTTAGGTCCAGGGTTTGGGTCTTTAGATGTAGTGGTCGGATAGAGTCCAGGACCCTAAACCCTAAACCGTAAACCCTGAACCCTAAACCCTAAACCCTAAAGGGTGCAGAGTGTAGGATTTCCGTGGTTGAGGATTTGGAGTGTCGGGCTCAGGGCAAGCTCCCTCGAGCTTTGCACATGCATAATTTAATTTAAATTTCAGGGTTCAGGGTTCAGGGTTTAGGGTTGAGGGTTTAGGGTTTAGGAATTTAGGGTAGAATAGCCCAGGCCCATTACTTGTGTTTTTTTGCACCTACTGTGGGGCCGTAATAATTACCTATACTATTCTGGGGATTCCTTATTATAACTATGGTATAATGGGCCCCAAAACCCTATTCTAATTGTTGAGGCCCCTATGTAAAACATGATCCCAAAGTAGTTCGCAGCTCGTGGAGGTTCGGCGTAGGGGGAGGTCACGAGCATCGCAGGTACTCGGTCGGTCCTTTAAGCTCCCTAAACCCTAAAGCCAACCTTAAGGCTTAGGCTTAGAGTTCCCGCAATACGGAAACCATATAATGTACTATAGCTTACTTCCCCAAGAAGCCACAGAACCAAAAGGTCAAACTTTCCGACTACTACCAAACTCTAAGAGCCCAAAAAGTGTCAAGGTTGAGTATTGGGGAAGTCAGATGACCACAATTATGGTAGGTTCATGTAAGTTTAAATAAATGCCTTAACAAGAATCCAGGGTTCAGGGTTCGGGGGAACCAGGGGACCCAGCAATAACGAAGCACATGGCATCAGGACAACTCTTATGTAAGATATGGAACGCAACATGACAAATAGAATAAGGTCTTGCGGTCATCAATTACTTCGACACCCTATATAAACCTTCCCCCCCCCCTCCCCGCCCCTTCCCTTTCAGAGAGCTGTTTTTAGGCTGTTCAGTAGCCCACTGGGAGGAGTGTGGACTTTTGGGGGGGCTAGTCAAGTCATACACATACCAGCGACAAAAATGAGAAAAATATATGGGTACTTCTCTAAATTTGGCACCGATATAAAAAGCACCCTCGAAGGGACCCTCATGTAAAGAACTATCCATACCACTGAACAACCTACGGGTAGTTTCCAAAAACTATGACATCCCTGCAGTTCTCCCATCGCCAAGAGGCCCATCGCGGACCTTGGGAAGCCAGCGACTTTGCATAAACGCGTTAGGGTTTAGGGGCATTTTGGATCCTTGTCTTTGCGGTGTGGATGGTGGTTTTAGGGGCTTGGGGCATTTTTGGGCCTCGGTTTCGTTGATTTTTTGGACCCTAACCCTACACCCTAAACTGTGGCTCATGAAGCTAGAGCTGCTAGTCTTGACCCCACCCCCTGACCTGAACCCAGATCTTCGGACAATCGCTGAATTTAGGAATATACCTTCAAATACAATAGAATCCGGTTTAGGGTTAAGGGCCTAGTATAGGGTTTAGGGTTTCGCATTTAAGGTGTAGTCCTTCATTAAGGGAGTTTGGGGCTCATGATAGACACCTGTCCTGACGAAGAGGGCTAAATGGCAGGTCAAACCCTCAACCCTAAACCCTAAGCCCCTAAACTCCTAAACCCTAAACCCCAATCGAAATGCTACAGACCCAGAGGTTGTTTAGGATTCACCCCCTTAAGCTCGAACTTCTACAATTGCCCGCAAAACCCTGGGAAAACCTAAACCACCTCATATAAATGCCTGTACTGCCCATAACACTGTCGAAACGGCTTGTAAACACCCTTATTACACATATCAACTACACTAAAGGTTCTTTCGTTCCTTCTGGCAAGATCTCACCATCGAATCGACGGATCTCGGGTTCGGTTTGGGGTTAGGGTGTATACCCGGAGGCTCCATTGCAGTTGCTTTTCGGGAAGTACCTTATAGGATCCTAGATATAACCATGAAAAGGAACTACGATGGAGCCTATAGGTAGGAGTGAAAACGCCCAAAAACCATGCATGACAGCGAGGCTGAAGAGCGTCGCCCGAAACCCGTCTGATGCCCACCACTGGTTGATAAAAGTTTAAACCCCCTTATTAGGGTTTTAGGGTTTAGGGTTTAGGGTGCAGGGTTTTAAGTTTTTGTGTGGAGGGCCTTTTTGGTGCCTGCCGTGAAGAGTTTTCACAGGGTTTAGGAGTTCGGGTTTATAAACCCTAAACCCTAACCCCTAAACCCCTAAACCCTGAACGCCGCTGTCTGGAAAGCCCAAAGCTTCCTCTCTCATACCTGGACCCAAATAACCCCGAAAAGGAAGGTGTTATAGGGTCCAGGTAGCCCCCACTTGGAGACGAAGCATCCTAAAGCCGAAAATGTAAAGGACCTGAGGCCAAAACCATACATCCTAAACCCAAGACACTGAACACACAGCCTGCAATTCTACACTAGAGGGTTTAGGGTTTAGGGTTTGTGTTGCACACAACCTGAAATTCTACATAATAGCCCAGGGTTTAGGGTTCAGGCTGTAGGGAACTCCCTTGCAGAACACCACTCCAGGAGCCGAAGCTTTTCACCGAGGATGCGCAAAGGGTCACACCCTGCACGCCTCCACCAGAAGGCAACCTGATCCTTTTCGGAAAGCGAAAACAAGGCCTGAAGGGTTCTTCTGTAAGGAAAAATCCCACCATACTCGGCTGCAGCTTGGGGTTAGAGGATTTAGGTGCCTGCAGTGCAAAAGGAGCACTGACTGTCTTCCTGGCACACCCTACGTACTTGTGCAGTTCGGCACCAAGCAAGGTGAGTTCCAGGGATTAGCAAAGGTATCCCCTAAACCCTAAACCCTAACCCTAAACCCTAAACCCTAAACCGTTGATAAGGGATCTGTAAGGCTCTTGGGTTTCGGAAGGGCCCTCGGTGCTCCCGGCGATGGTCTGAACTTAAGCATTCCTAGCATTAATCAACTCTACCGGGTTCTGGTTAAGGAAGTTGGAGTTAAGTTACCACAATAAGGGAACCTCTTGCTGAACTTTCTTCTCGTTTAGCAATAATAAGGACAGCTCTCTCTTATTTTTCACAAAACACCCCGATTATGTTCACTTGAACAAAGTTCCTTAACAAGAACCCAGTCTATGCCACTAAGGTAAAGGCCTTAATGATTATAATAGGGTTTTGGAGCCCTGTGCTATAATTATAATAAGGACCCCCGAAAAAAACAAATACTATAGGAAATTATTAAGGCCCCTATATTATTGACAGGCTCGAGCTCATCCGACTTCTGCGGCAGCCCTGTCGCAGGCGCCAATCGCAGCACTGAAGCAAACCTCATTCGGCCAAAGCCTTGCCGCCGGCATATCAAAGAGCAGCTTCCTCACATAGGTTTTCTTGTTTTAAGGGCTCTTTTCCGTCCGCACGAGTCACATAGGGCTTAGGGTTTAGGGCATGTCAAAGAGCAGCTTCCCCACATAGGAGTTAGGATTAGGGGAGGGCTTTAGGGTTCAGGGCTTCGGGGTTCTAGCGGTTTGGTAACCAATTCAAGTCCAGCAAGTGCTTCCGACCCGTGTATAGGGAGAACGCGGGCTTAGGCATATCCTTCTTGAAACACTCTATATTAGTGTGCTGAAGTGACGCCAAAGCACGCTGCCATCTGCCACTGGGAGCCCTTCTCACAGCCACTGATTCCCGCGCCGACGCTCACTTCGTCGGGAATGGCGCTGGCGGAAGGCAACTGTGACAGCACCTTCGTCACGGGGGAGAGGGTGGGAGGGCTCTTCGACGACGACTATCAGTCGCAGGAGTAAGAGCAGGAGTAGGGCGGGTAGGCGTAAGAACAGGATCAGGAGCAGGAGGCAGGAGTAGGAGTAGGGGCAGGAGGACCAGCAGGACTTCGCAGTAGGAGTAGCTAGTAGCTAGGCGGACATGCAGAATGGCATCTGCTATTGTGACTTTTGGTATTCCTAAGCTGCAGCTACTGTCCGGCAAAGGGGAAGATTATATCACTGCCCAGGCGCATGAAGAGCCATCCTCCACTGTCCTCCTTCCTCGCATGCACTGATACCTGCACTAAAACTTATTAAGCTTGGCGCAACTCTGAGAGATCTCATCGTCGACAGCAAAAATATGGCCATCTGCCAGTGACCGCTCTTTTCGCAGGCGCTGATGCCCGCACTGAAGCTGATGTCGTTAGGCTGGATTCCAAAAGACGGCATCTGCGAAAGAACATACAAGGCCATCTCCCATTGCCACCCCTTCTCACAAGCACTGATACTTGCGTTGAAGCTGACTTCGCTGGGTGTGACTCTTTCAGTCGGCATTTCTGAGAAAACAAGCAGAGCATACTGCCACTGCCCGTTCTTTTCGCAGGCGCTAATGGCTGAGTTGAAGCTGAATTCATTTGGCCGAACTTCCTTAGGCAACATTTCGATTTTACAGTATGGCAGTACACTATTCTAGTATACGATAGTAGAATATGGTGTATTATAGTAGGATCCATGATATCTAGGTTTAGGGGTTTTCGGGTTGGATTAGGGCTACCCAGTAAAAGCCACAGTTGAGCAAACGTTAGAGGAAGCCAAGATTCCTGCCTGCGCATGCCTGACAAGAGCTCGAGAGCCTCAAAGAGAAGGAGCCAAGGCTAGGGTTTAGGATTTACGGTTTAGGGTTCAAGGTTTAGGGTTTAGGGTTTAGGATTCAGGGTTTAGGATGGGAAGCCTTGAGGAGGGCAAGGCGCAAAGTGCTTAGGGTCTCCCATGTTTCTGACAGTGGATTTACATATTTCACAAGGGGAGTTTGGAAGGCTAGAAAACTGCGCATATCTTGTGGGCGGAGCTTGTATTATCGAGCTTTTACATTTGTTTAGAGCTTTGGGCTTGATCAACAAGCTGCTGCATTGCATTAAGAACCGAGAACACAAATGTCAAATACCCGCGAAACACATCTTACTGTTGATGAAACAAATCCTGCATTACCTTAAGGACCCTAAACTACGGGAATTATGGTATTCTCATTATTAGGGTAACACAGGATTTGTATCATCAACCTACCATTCAGATGCAACAAACTACTCAGCTCAACAATCCCAAATTCGAACCTTTTTTTCACAAGATTCCGAACACCACACACCTTCAACTCTGTGCCCTCGCCATTCTAAGGACCTATAAAAGGGCCTTCATGAGTAGAGCAGGGGTTTAGTCAGTATATTATCGTAGGAAGCTTATCATTGGGACCATGAGAAAGCATATTACTACATGATGAGGGTAGTTCTCTAAATTAGGGTCCCTTTTTGGGGTCCCCAATATAGTACGGCACTCTTATAAAAAGGACCCTAAAAGGGACCCTGACCTAGAGAACTGTACTAATGAGGCTCTCATGATACAAAGGGCCATCTGCCAACGGCCGCCCTTCTCACAGGCGCTGATGGCGGCACTGTAGCTGACCACTGTCGGAGAACCGAAGACGTCCTTGCCACGGCTGAGGGCTTAGGGTTTAGGGCATAGGATCTTTATACCATATAAACCCTAAGCCCCCAAAGGGTTGAGGATTTTTGAGGTTCTTGGTAGTCGGTACACCGGTTCCCCAAGGCTCCAGAAGTGGGTTTCCAGTTGCCGAAACAGTATTTTGCTACGAAACTCGGCAGCCTACCTTTGAGGCAACTAGAGCAGTAGAGGTTTGCCTGTTTTGCAGGGATTTACCTTACAAGGTTGTTGCAGGATATGATGAGGCTAGAACTAGCATAATATGAAGTATCAAGACGTGCGAATTGGAATGGGCCTTGTGGGTAGCGCTTTTCGTCTATTTGGAACTTGCAGCTAATCCCAAACCCCTAGATTGGGCAGAAGCCGGGCTACATGCACGCAAAAGAAGCTATGCCATCGAGCCCGTAAACTTGAACAAAGCCCAAAACTCGCAGCCGCAAGCAAGAAGCCTTAAGCTCTAACCAAACCCCAACCCCTCGACCCTCAAATCTAGACCCTTATTCAAAGGAAACTACAGGTGGGGAGTTTAGGGTATATAGGGCTTCTATAAGACTTCCATAAGGTATATAGACCTTCTACAAGGCTCCTATAGCGGTAACTAGACACCTGAAAATGCCCTAGACTTATGTCACAGACATTCACAGACCCTCAGCCTACAATGACGTCAACATGTCGAATGGAGTATGGAGGCTCACATTCCAACTTCACCAGGAACCCAGAGGAATTCAAGGAGGGGCATACCTGAACCCTAAACCCTAAACTAGCAAGCAGCTGGGTCTCTGTTCAAGGGATGACTGATACCTCTTTGTGTCGCTATCCCCACCTTCTAAGAACCAAACATCCTTAGCCCTCCCTACCGTAATGTACTGGGGGCCTTAATAATTAGAATAGGGCTTTGGGGTAGGTTATAGTATAGTTAGAATAGGGACCCCCCCCCAAGAATTAAGTACATTCAATTTTTAAGGCCCCTAAAGCGCATGACCTACTTTGGGTTCCTTGCAACGTGTACTAAAGCCCTAAACCCAGACCCTAACCCCAACCCCCGAAGCCCTTTGGGGGGGATAGCTCCAGGCTTCAAAACCTAAACCCTAAAACCTAACCCCTAAACCTTAAACCCTAAACCCTAAACCGTTTTTGGCTTTTAGGGGCCGGAGAGCTTCCAGCGATGAGAGCGGTGATCAGAGCCAGAGAGCTCTGGGAGGGTGTAGGGTTTAGGGTTTTAGGGTTTTAGGGTTTTAGGGTTTTAGAAATTAAGGGTTTTAGGGTTTAGGGTTTAGGGCTTAGGGTTTAGGGTTTAGGGTTCAGGGGTTTTGGGGTTTAGGGGTTCATGGAGGGTTCAGGGGTTTAGGTGTTTAGGGGTTGAAGGTTTAGGGGTTTAGGGAGGGCTCAGGGGTTTAGGGAGGGCTCAGGGGTTTAGGAGTTTAGGGGTTGAAGGTTTAGGGGTTTAGGGGTTTAGGGAGGGTTCAGGGGTTTAGGAGTTTAGGGGTTGAAGGTTTAGGCGTTTAGGGGTTTAGGGAGGGCTCAGGGGTTTAGGGGTTTAGGGCTTCGGTTGGAAGTCCGTGGCTACGACTACAAAGCGAAAAGCTTCAATGCTAGTTGTCACTAGCAGATCATGAGAAAGCCGAGGTCTATTCGTAAAACCAGCAAAACCCAAGGGTCGTTTTCCGAGCTCTAACCTCAAGTACCCTATCAAACCTTCACTGCACAAAATGCAACCCTATTATAGCCTACGCCCCCGAAGTGCGACCAACATCTGGCACCCTAAGCATCATGAAGCCTAAAGCCCTGAAGTCCAACACCCGCAAAGCACCTCATGTAGGCTTGCCAGCAGAAGAAGGGCAACCTGCCACTGGCCACTGCTCGCACAAGCACTGATGGCAGCATTTACCTGCGAAGTCTCTCGACAGGTTCAGGGCTTACCAGGACCCGAGCATCGCGCCCTGCCCAGACCCTCTATTGGGTTTAGGGTTTAGGTTCAGGGGTTTAGGGTTCGGTGAGCACAAACGGAACTACACTGCAGAGAATATGTAGAAACCCCGATGTCAAATTTCGACGACCGTCTAACAGCGGCAGCCCTACGGGTCCAAGTACCAACACAGTAGATACTTAGTAGATATTTGGGCGCCAACAGTCTATACTATACTATACTATACTATACTTTACTTTTTATTCTTATAATATACTATACTTTACTATACTGTTATACTATACTATACTGTACTATACTATACATTACTATTACTTGGACGCTTGGGGAAGTACGACTAAGCTTCTCTAATCCAAGAAGATCGCTACTGGAGCCCAAGGCGCCTCGAAATCCCAAGACCTTCCAATATCCCTTTGATTAATTAAGGAGTATAGGGTTTAGGATTTAGGGTTTAGGGTCTTTGATTAATTAAGGAGTGTACCTTAAGGGGTTCCGTCAAGGGACCTATAAGGGTTTCTATAGGGGTGCTATAAGACTTAAGGAACAATATTTCGTAAATTAAAATATTAGGGATCGTCACACGATTTTCTTCTCGGCTGACCGGCGTATTTTCCCACCCCAACCTTAAACTGTCCTATGCAAATTGAAACGCACCGGACAGGGCTCGCTGATGACGCCGGCGGGGACGCGGACTTCTGGCATCGAGGTCAGTAAGGACAGGGCCCGCTGCCACTGTCCATTCCTGATTTTCAGGGATTTTGGGTTTATAGGGTTTAGGGATGTTTTAGTGCCCTACAGCAGGTCGAGGCACCTCCAGCCAAGCGCGGCTAAGGCTAGTCGTAAAGGAGAGACATACAGAAATCTATAACCGAGATTCTTCTCACAGGCACTGATGGCTGCATTGAACGTGATTGCATTGGGCGGCAAACCCCTTGCCCAGGACTCAAACATCACCTGCAAGGCTAGCTGCCACGCGCCCCTGTGACAGGCGCTGATGAAGGAGCTGAGGCTCACTTCGTTGGGTGTGATTTTGGCTGCAGGCATGTCGGACAGCATTGCCAGCGCCACCTGCCAGGCGCCCTCTGTCGCACAAGCGCCGATGCAGGCGCTGAAACTGATCACATCTGGGCGACAGTGGTGCAGCCTCATGGCTGCCAATACATCGACAGCTGTCTGCCACAGGCCGGCCTTTTCACAAGCACTAATGCCTGCGTTGAAGCTGATATCATTCGGAACTATTTCTGCTGCCAACATGCCAAATAAGAGGGAGAGGGCCATCTGCCACTGCTGGCCTTTCGCACAAGCGCTGATTCCCGCATTGAAGCTGACAGTGTCAGCGAGAGCTCCTTCGTCCGGCATGTCCAGCAACAACTGAAGTGCCATCTGCCACTGCCCTGCTTTTTCGCAGGCACTGATAGTTGAATTGAAGGTGACCCCGTTGGGTCTTACAGCAAAGGATGGCATTTCCACTAGCATCTGAAGAGCCAACTGCCACAGGCCGTGTTTTTCACAGGCACTGATGCTGGTACTGAAGCTGATTACATCGCAGGGCAGTTTCGTTGAGTGCATCTCTGACAACAAGGCCATGGCCATCTGCCACTGACCGCCTTTGGCACAGGCGCTGATACTGGCATTGCAGCTAATCTCATCCGGAATAAGTCTTAAGGCGGGCATCGAAGCCAGGAGGACGAGGGCATGCTCCCATTGTAACGCTTTCTCACAGGCACTCATGCAGGTGTTGAAGGTGATCTCATCAGGAAGCATCCCTATGGCTGGCATAATGGACAAGAGGTCGAGTGCTGCTGTCCATCTCCGGCCCACTTCACAAGCCTTTAACACCGTGTTAAAGCTGACAACGTCGGGTGAAAGTCTTCTGGTTGGCATCTCTGCCAACAAGTGCAAAGACCATTGCCACACAAGTGACCGCTCACATGCACTGATTGCTGCATTGAAGCTGAATACATTAGGCACAATCCCAGCAACGGGCATCTGAGACAGCAATAGCAGAGCCTGCGCCCATTGTTGGCCCTTGCCACAAGCAGTGATTGTTGCACTGCAGCTGTAAACCTTACTTGCGCAGACTCGTATGACAAAGAGTACCAACTTGTCGGTTCTCAAGAGGGTTCAGGGTTCAGGGTTGAGACCCCTATAACCCTAAACCCTTCTATAAACCGAAAACCCCATTATAAGCCCTGGACCCTATATACCTTTTGGGTTGATTAACAGACACCTGCATTTACGCAGAGCCTGCCTCACATCGACTATGGAAGCTACCCATCCTCGAGGCCGAGCAACGGGATTTTCGGTGGGGTCCGGGTTTAGGGCTTAGGGCTTCGGGTTTGGGGTTGGCGTTCAGGGTTGAAGAATCGCGCGAATCATAAGCCGATACTTATAAGTTGAAGGAGTCCTCATCTTCTCGGCAAGCTTCCTGAATAAACAGTAAGGTGGATAACACAGGCATGCATAACAAAGCCACCATGGTATAATGCTATGAAGCTACAAGACCCCATACACCCAAAACCTCACACTCTACACCTCAGACCTCATCCTCGAGCAATCTTCTGGACAAAGAAGCAGTGGGAACGGCCCGGGCAGCTTTGATCTCTGCCAGCACGCGTAGGGCAGGAAGCCAGAGTTGGACCCGGCCGCAGCAGGAAATGATCTGCTCAGGGTTTAGGATTTAGGGTTTAGGGTTTAAGGTTTAGGGTTTAGGGTCTAGGGTTTAGGGTTTAGGGTCTAGGGTTTGTGCCGCACCGTTTATCTGTAATATGTTATAACTAACTAAGAAAATGCACGTCGCATTTGTTGCTTGCTCATGGTTCTTCTGATAGCGATTCCTTTTGGTGTTTTTAAAGACTCTCCCAGTTGCGATATGGGGGGACTGAATATGAGTCAACCACTAGCGAGTCCTTCCCTCTCACCTTCTCTTCTGAATAATGTAAAAAAAAAGACCCTAAACCCTAAACCTTATAAACCCAAAGCC